ACTGCACAAAGTGAGTATTAACACACAAGAAAAAATAGAAAAAAACCTCAATAGCCTAGGCTTTTGAATTACATTTCAATCAACATTTTGATGCTTTCTACAGCAATACATACCATCATTATTTCTAATGGTGAATTATACGAAATGTAATAGTCATGGCCAACACAGATAACCATTAGCAAACATTCATGTCTAAATGATCCTGTTAGTCTTTCCACAAGTACTTTAATAAATGTACTGTATCTGGGGAAGAGAAACAACCAGTTGTTCTCTAATTTGATAGTGGTGGTTTTCACGGTACTGAAATAATAGTCTACAAGAAAATGTGGGAAAATTGTTAAAATGGATCAATCTAAAGTATGGCTCAAGCTGGTCAATGAGATGACTTAATGGATAAAAGGGTCTTTATTAGGCCAACTAAGTAATGAAAAGTGCTTCAGCCTGACCTTGTACCCATGTCAATCCTGGGGATGACTCCTAAGAGCATGAGTAGATAATGAGGCACTATAATGAATGGCACTGGAATGCCAAGTATGGCACATTAGGAACTAACAGCAATGTAATTCAATTTCAAGTCAAATTTTATATCTTTTATACATTTCTATAAAGACGTACAGCTTGGAGTTCCTCTCCAGAATTACAAGACAGCACTCAAACAGAAGTTATGAAATTTCCACTAAGCTACCGTGTGGATGTGCAGGAGGCTCCCAGTCCAGACGTATGATGTCTTCACGATCATCCACTTTGCTCCATTTAGGTGGACTCACTCCCTGAGGCACATCTTGTTCAGTAGTTGCGTTGCTGAAATGACTGAATCCCCAGCCGAAACTGTTCCAAGCAGCCACTCTGTACTCATATGTGGTGTAAGGCTCCAAGTCAGTGTCTATAAATCACAAAACAAAGACATGGGTTGAATTAGCATTTTGAAAGGGGTGTATCTCCCTTTGTTATTAATTTTGCAGGAGTGATGTGATAAAGTAATGTGATAAATAAAGTGTATTTATTTTATAATGACACAATTTCCTATACTCTCCTGCATTTTATTGAACAATACTATACTGTACTGTATGTATTTTTAAACCATTTTTGTATTTGGTAAAATTATGCACTATATCAAAATAATAAACACAGTTAGAAAAATAACGGGCAATTCAGTCAGATTTCTC